ATATAAGTCTAAGGGTGCAGGATTACCTTTTGGAAGAAATCTTGCAAAACCCTCCTTTGAGTTCTTGAAGAAATTTCTTGCAAATCTATGTATTTTTTGGAGGATTGAGTTAGTTTTGGGGTGGAATTGATGGAATGATATGCCAAATTAGTAGGGATTACTCACCTTGAAGATGGGGGGAGTTGGAAGTCTTGAGATAGTGGAGGAAAACCCCAAAGTTCGGCCAAGAGAAATGGAAAAAAATGAACCCCAAAATGAGTATATAATATTTCGGGCACCACAGGTGGCGTGGGGTGTTGCCTGTGGTGCTGGTTCCATAACATCAAGATTCTCGGTGCCAGGGATAGTGCCCCATGCTACCCTGGGCACTGGCGATGGGAAATCATTTCTATTTTTCCCGAAAATGGGCATAACTCGCTCATACGATGTCCGAATTTCACGATTCGTTTTGCTATGGCTTTGTAATTTCCATAAGGATCTAATGCTTTAATCAAAACTGAATTTGGAGCTCATTTGCTTAATGTTATACCACTTATACTCGCAGAAACGACGTCAAAACATCCTAGAAATATCCAAATTAAATTTTGCACATACGCCAGAGTCCAAAATCACCATCATGACCTAACAGAATCATCAAAAATCCATTCCGAGGTCAAATACAAAAACAAACTCAAACTTGGTCATAATACATCATATGAAGCTACTCAAGACTTGAATAATTAAAAGGAGCATAAATGTTCAAAATGACAACCCGGATCGTTACAACCAGAACGAGCAATTTAGATAAATACTCCTTGATTTTGTCGAAAGCCTTCTGGCATTCTTCAATCCAACTTGTTGAAGCATCTTTCCTTAGCATTCTGAAGATTGGCTCACATATCACGGTTGATTGTGCTATGAAGCGGCTGATGTAATTGAGGTGCCCTAAAAATCTCATCACCTCTTTCTTATTCTTTGGAAGTGGCAAGCCCTGGATAGCTTTGACTTTTGATGGGTCTAACTCAATCCCTTGGCGACTGACGATGAATCCTAAAAACTTTCCAGCAGGGACTTCGAAGGCACATTTTGCAGGATTCAACTTCAAATTGTATTTTCGAAGCCGGTCGAAAAATTTCTTCAAGTTTGCTATGTGATCTGAACTCCTTTTAGATTTGATTATAAAGTCATCCACGTACACCTCTATTTCCTTATGTATCATGTCGTGGAAGATGGTTGTCATGGCTCTCATGTAGGTGGCTCCAGCGTTCTTCAAACCAAATGGCATCATTTTGTAACAGTATATTCCCCATGGTATGATGAAAACCAAATGGCATCATTTTGTAACAGTATATTCCCCATGGTATGATGAAGGCTATCTTTTCGGCATCCTCTTCATCCATCCAGATCTGATGGTATCCTGCGAAGCAATCCACGAAGGATTGGAGCTCATGCTTGGCACATTTGTTAATCAATATGTGTATGTTGGGCAACGGAAAATCATCTTTGGGACTTGCTTTGTTCAGGTCTCGATAATCAACACATACTTTAACGTTCCCATCTTACTTCGGAACTGGCTGATGGTAGGCTATAACTATGTATTTTGGACACTATTTGCACTCTAATTCACTGCACTTTACTGATGTTTGATAGTTAAATGGTAAGAAATTGATTTGACCGAGTGCTTTATGCTTTGCAGGAGCAATTCCGGGCTACAATGAGGTTAGGGAGCATTTTGAGCTAATATGGAGCGTTGAAGGCTAAGTAAAAGCTTATGGAGTAAATTGGGAGTTTGTTCGAAGATCAAAGGAGGTTCGCGCACTTAAAAAGAAGAACGAAAAAAGAGCAAAAAATTTCCCAGGTGCGCGGCCACGCACTGGGTCGCACAAGTCAAGTAGAAATTGTCCAATATGCATGGCCAGATGCGTGGTCACCGGCCCAGATGCGCGGCCGCGCACGTACTTCTAAGAGAATATTTCCTAGGGCTAAAATTATAATTTCGGGGAGACTTTCCTTGACCTATATGAAGCCCAACTCGTCTAAAAAGAGGGTATCTTGGATTTTAGGAGAACTTTGGAGGGAGAAGAAGCATGGAATCAACGGGGAAGCGAGATACTTGATCCCATTCACTCAATCCGAAAGTTTGGTTGGATTTGGGAATTGTAATGTCTTCTTGTTCTTCTAATACTCTTGTTTTGAATACTTTCTTTGTTATGCAGTAATTCTCCTCAGGGTTGTTGATGGATGTTATGAATTGATTATTATTTTGGGTTTTACTCTATGTTAATTGCTCAACCTTACTGAATGAGTTATTAATTGAATTTCAAGGTTTATTGTAGTTTTACTTTAATCGAAAGAGAAGTTTGCTGCTATTTGCTTTGTACCATCTTAATTGGGTTGATTTTATGCCTCTTCTAGGTAATCGAAAGAGCTTAAGCAGGTATCAATTTACCCAGTTCAGAAGAATAACTGAGAGGTGTTCTCCGGAAGATCATTCATTCACTATTTTTGTGCATACATTCATTAGGCATGTTATTGGGTTAACGAAAGAAATTTATTCGGAAGAAGAATTGAAATACCTGAAGTAGCCTTATCATCTGTTGAAGTCGAAAGAATCAATAGAAGCTAAGATTGAATTTAGCATAGAGTTACACAGGGGGGCTAGTTGATCACATATCTTGTCATCACCCTTGCCTCTCTCATTGATATTCCTTTGTTATTACTAATCATTCGGGTATCACCAGTTTCTTATAGCTGATAATCTTAGTTTATTTGTAGTCAATAATAACATAAATCAAAAGGTTGATTATCCTGGATAATGTTAAGCTGAAGAATTAATAGAACATTATTGAAACCAATCCATGCGGAGATGATTTGATACTATATTATCTTTGACTAGTGAGCCTAAGTTTATACGCCATTTTTGCGTTCGTCAAATTTTGGCGCCGTTGCCGGGGATTGGTGATTAATAGTGTTTCAATTAGTTTTCAGTGCTAATTCAGGAATTACTTTATTTCATTTTCTTTTTTTATGCTCTTCTCATCTGTGTGCATGCAACAGGTTAAGTTCAGCGGTGTATGACTCGATCCTCTTTAAAGGACTTGGTGCCATACGACCCATAGTTAGACAAACACCTGAGGCAGTTGAAAAGAGAGAAAGGAGCGAGTGGATTATTGTTGGGTCAGCCTTCAACTTAGAATAAAATGGTGAACAACGAAGAGATAGTAGATCTAGCTTCTAGAGAGGTGTCTTAGCAACAAGAAGCACGATTAGCGGCTGAAGCGGCCCGCAGAATTGCTGATAAAAAGGTTGATGGAGATCGAAGACTCAATCCCAACCGAATTATCGAGGATGCCTTTGAAAATGTAGGCCCTGGGCCTGGGCGATCACTGAGAGATTATGCTAGACCAGTGTACAACCAACAACAGTCTAGTATGAGTCCCCCACCCATCGATGCTAACAATTTTGAACTCAAATAGGGAGTCATCCAGACCTTTCAGAATAATTGCATTTTCAGAGGCAAACCCAATGAAGATCCCAACAACCATCTGATGGAATTTGATGAAATTATGAACACGTTCTGCTACAATGGAGCATCACATCACAGTATATATCTCAGAGCATTCTCGTTCTCGCTGAAGGATGATGAAAAGCAGTGGCTGAGAAGTTTTCCTACAGGGTCAATCCATACGTGGGAGAAGATGACTACCAAGTTTTTGGAAAAATATTTCTCGGTTGCTAAGACGGGAAGGATGAGGAAGGAGATTCATAGTTTTAGCCAAAGCGAAGGAGAAATAGTGTTCGAAGCATGGGAAAGATTTAAGGAGCTGATACGGAGGTGCCCTCACAACGGAATGGAGCAATGGATGCAACTTCAGGACTTTTGGGACGGTTTAAACCCGTCATCAAGGAGATTGCTAAATAGTGCAGTTGCAGGCCCTCTGATGAAGAAAACTCCGGAAGAATTATTACTCTCTTGAATGAATTATCTGAAGATGCAGATCAATGGTCCACAGACTAAGGGGATCGGAGAAAATCAGCAGGGGTGCATCAAGTAGAATCATCTTTAGCAATGCAGGCCCAAATTGCAACAATGGCTAAGGACATCAAGCAGTTGATTATGCCAAGGTGCAAATTCAACCACAGGTGGGTTATGATATCTATGGGATGGGACACCCTACACATGAGTGTCAAGCTACAGTTGAGGAGGTCAACGCTGTAGGAAATTTTAATAGAGGAAACTAACAAGGTGGAAATAACTTTAATGCTATGGGTCAAAGATAATTCAATTCTTTAGTTTGTGGCAGAGAGTTTTAGAAGACTCACGGTTATTAAGGTCACTGCTTAACAAAGCGATCTTGATAGCCACTGACGTACTAAGGAGTTATGTATTGGAGCTTACCTGTTTGCTCTTATGGTAAAGACATCCAGGTTTTTTGTGAAGTTCATCTAATGAGAGCTTGAACTCATGGCAGCAAAATAATCTCAGACCCCAGGGTCGGGGACTACCAGGTTTTCAGAACCAGCAGAGGTAACAATACTAGCCACCATAGCCAAATCAATCAAATATGAAAGATCTCATTAAGGCATTCATTAACAAAACGGATGAAAAATTTGAGACTCAGGGCACGGTTATCCGAAACTTAGAAAGGAAAATGGGACATATTGCAAATTTGTTGTCTGAGAGGGCTCCTGGGACTCTCCCATCCGACACTGAAAAGAACCCGAAGGAAACAATCAAAGATGTATCTATGAGAAGCGGAAAAGTATTGATTGACCCAATTGTGAAGGCTAAATCGGAAGTGGTCAACAAGAACTCTGAGACACCAGTAGAGGAAAAGAATGAAGAGCAAAAGAGCTAGAATAGTGGGGTACAAAAAGAAATTGAAGAAAGTAGACATGTGCCAGCTCTACCATTCCCTAAAAAGATGAAGCGGGAGAAACTTGACAAGTGTTTTGGGTGATTATTGGAGATGCTCAAATAACTTTATGTGATCATCCCTTTCACAGAGGTACTCACTCAGATGCCCGCTTATGCAAAGTTCTTGAAGGAAATCCTATCTAGCAAGAGAAAATTAGAGGAGACAATAGTGGTCAAGTTAAATGCCTATTGCAGTGCTATATTGCAGAACAAAATTCCCCAAAAGTGTGGGGACCCAGGAAGCTTCACCATACCATGCTCATTGGGGAGTGAAAATTTTGACAAGGCCCCATGTGATTTAGGTGCGTCTATAAATCTAATGCCTTTGTCTGTATTCAGGAAACTGGAAGGTGAACTTGGAGTGATTAAATTGATACCAGTGTCCCTACAACTAGCCGACCAGACCACCATTCTACCTGAGGGAATCATTGAAGATTTTCTAGTGCGGGTGGACAAGTTTGTATTCCCCGTCGATTTTATTATGGTGGATATGGAGGTGAAAAAGGAGGCCACTATGGTGGAAATCGCACAGCAACAAAGGTCATGGAAGCTGGTTTCTTTTGGCCTACTCTGTACAAAGATGCAAGGGCATATGTAGCTGCATGTGACAAGTGTCAGAGAGAAGGTAATATTACCAAGAGGGATGAAATGCCGCTCAACTCCATTCTGGTATGTGAAATCTTTTACGTTTTGGGCCTTGACTTCATGGGTCTGTTCCCAATGTCGCATTCTCATGAGTATATCCTAGTAGCTGTTGACTACGTCTCTAAATGGGTCGAAGCAATCCCTACTAGGACCAATGATGCTCGGGTGGTGTGTGAGTTCTTTCAGAAAAACATCTTTACCCATTTTGGGACACCTCGAGTGATTATCAGTGACAATGGGTCACACTTTGTGAATAAGCAGTTTGCTGCACTAATATCCAAGTATGGGGTCACATACAAAATAAGAACCCCGTACCATACCCAAACTAGTGGGCAATAAGAAGTGGCTAACCGGGAACTAAAACAAATTCTTGAAAATATGGTTAGTGCTTCTCGTAAAGATTGGTCTGTCAAGTTGGATGAAGCACTATGGGTGTATAGAACTGTGTTCAAAATGACCATAGAGACTTCACCATTCAAATTAGTGTATGGTAAGTCATGTCACCTACCTGTTGAGATAGAACATAAGGCTTATTGGGCAATTAAAATGCTTAATTTTGATCTTAGTCTTGCAGGTGATCACAGGTTGGAGCAGATGAATGAATTGGAAGAGTTCAGACTAGACGAGTATGAAAGTGCGTGGATCTGCAAGGAAAAGACTAAAAGGTGGCATGATCGTCTGATTAAGCTAAAGGAGTTTCATAAAAGGGACAGAGTCTTACTGTACAACTGTAAACTCAGAATATTTCCCAAAAAATTCAAGTCTAGATGGACAGGCCCATATGTAATGAAACATGTATCACCATACGGGGCAATTGATATCCAGAACCAAGACGGAACAGAAAGTTTCAAAGTAAATGGGCACAAACTAAAATCGTATCTTGTTGGAGGATTTGCACAGTAATCCTCGAGCATCAAAATCAACTGAGGATGCCCCGTTGAATCAAGCTGACGACTATAACTCAGAACTACCTCTAACCCTTCTGCTAGTTAGATTTTCTTTTCTTTAGTGTGTACTATGATGCAATAGGTATTAATCGGGAAAACAATGTGTGTGGTCTCGTATCGACCGTGCACTTTCAGGTCCTCACTGCCAAACATGCGTGGCCGTGCATCGACCGCACATTTTTGGCCCCTCATTACCACACGTGCGCGGCCGCGCACCGACCGCGCACATGTAAGTTTTTTTTTGTTTTTTTTGTTTTTTTCTTCTCGTTCTTGTTTCTTTAGAACTTCCGCCCCCTCCTCTTTCCTTCACATAATTCGAACCCCCCCTTTCTAAACACTCCCAATCTCAAATTCCCCTCTTTCCCCTTCTTCTAAACAACCCTAACCCCACCCCCTTCTCCCATCTCTTCTCTACATAGATCCCCACCATCAATTGAAGTGCAATCCTCATTCTTCTCCCCAACCCAAATCCTCACAAGTTCCCCTCATGTAAGTGAGATGTTTTCCTCCTCTTATTTTAGTTTATTTTCTTTTCTTTTCCTTGAATTGTAGTAGATTTTTGTTAGTTCTTTCTTTCTAGTTATACTTGTTCTTGGGTTGGGGTAATAGTTAAATTTCACCATGATGGGTTGGGTGTGACATTGGTGTATCTTTTGTCGAAATTGGGGGCAAAAGAATTGTTGTTTGGGGGTTCGGGTGAACTGTGCATATCAAATGTTTGTGTAAATGCCCCAAAGAGTTTGAGAATGTAAGTTTGTGACCAAGTGTGCTGGTGAAGTATGAGTAATCACTCTTGGTCTAACCATCATGCTTTTAGTTGATATTGGTGTTTGTTACAGGTATTATGACTCCATCCAAGAAACGAAGAACCACAGGTGCTTCCATTAGTGATCACGCTGGCTTGTCCGGCCACGAGCTTCTGCCAATGCTCGCCCGTCTGATAATAACAAGTTCGTATCCAGTGCGGCCCAAGAACGCTTCTGTAAAAAGGCACCCAAGAAACCCATACCGGATAGGGAAATATGGGGTCCCTCTAAAATGACTGCCCCAATATTTATCGTGAATTGGTCCGGCGAGGGCTGGGGATATTGTTTGAAGAACCCGACGAAGCCAATTTAATGGTTGTTCAGGAGTTTTATGCGAACTGCCCGGAACATGTTAACCATGTTTGCACGATTCGAAAGAAGAGTGTGGACGCATCCATAGAGGCTATTCGGAGGGCCTACCGGTTTCCAGTGTTAGGGGAAAATCCTGAAGCAGAAGACTATATATAGCAGAGAACTACCCTTGTGGCAATTGTTCTTTAAAACAATTTCTGTGCCCAATAAGGAGGTAGTGTAGGTTACGTCGGGGTGGAAGTTTCATTCGGAATCGCTTACCTTTGAAGGGAAGTGTTGGCTCTACATTATAAATAGCCACGTGTTACCTTCCTCAAATACCACTGAGGTGAATGGTCCTCGGGCTGCACTAATCTGGTGTTTTATCAATGGCCATGACTTTGATGTGGCTAAGGTTATCCACAGTAAGATGTTCATTCGTTGTGCTGTGCAAAGGTATGGGTTCTTCTTTCCATCCTTAATCACTCGGTTATGTCGTCAGGCACGTGTACCGGAATACAGGGACTTGTATGGGAAAGTTAAAAGGGAACAAAAGTTTCGAGCTAATAAAGTAGTAATTGGGAAGGACCATGTTGGACATGTTGAGGCAAATAGTGATGAGTCTGATACACCAGAAGAGGGTAATGAAATGCAAGCTGAGGATGTGGCTACTTCACCCCCACACGAGCAGGTTGTTGAGGGAACCTCAGTTGTCAGATGGGACACAAGAATGAGCGCCTTAGAGCAGAAAATGGCGGGGATGTGTACTTCTGTCACAGACTTGGGAGCTCGAGTGGATGCCCTTGCTACCCAAAATTCCAAGTCTGATAGAAAGGTCATAGCATGGATGCGTGCGCTTGGACAGGCTTGCCATCTAGACCCCGGCACTGTCTTCGACACGGACTAACTCTATCAGGGAAGTTTTCTTTAACTTACATTTTTCTTTGTGTGACATGGGGACATGGTGTGAGGTGGGGGATATGTTGTATGTATAGTGTATGTATGTAGTAATGTATATTAGTTTTACTTTCTTTTGTTAGTTTGAGTAGTCTAAAAGAAAAGAAAAGAAAAGAAAAGAAAAAAAAACTTAAAAACTTAAATTTTTTGACTTTTCCCGACGATGGATATCATTCAACGGGTTTCTTGAGGGATCAAAGTTGAAAGAAAAATGCAAAAAGATTTTCTTGTGTAGTTAGTGTAATAATTCCCCCATGGTTTTTCTTTGTGCCGCAGTTCTTTTCCAAGGATTTCGTTTGAACCGGGTATAGTTAGTTTTTTTTAGAAGTAGGAACCCTTGTGCTATGGGTTAAAATGAAAACAATATCTCTCGACTTTATTATTCTTTGAGAATGTAAGTGCTTTATTTGTGACGCTTTGGCTCAATTGTTTTTTACTCTTTCATAAGTACCTTAAATCGTATGATCTTAACTTTACTTAACTGTTTTGACTAGAGTGTCTTGATGAGTCCAATCTAGTGTGAGTTATGTGCCATGTGAGTGTGAGGTTTGGTGTATTCTATGCTTTACATTTGATGTCTAGAACTTGCCCCGTGTATTTGCAAAGCAAAATAGTAGTTTTATTCAGTCTTGGAAGTGATATAGGCATTTCTTTGTTGATCCAACTATATAGTTTACCCACCAACTTGTTATGTATCGTAGTTAACCCCGTTGAGCCTGTAATCCTGTTTCTTTGGCAACCACATTACATGCCTTACCCTTTTGTTTGAATTAACCATCTATTTGAACCATTTACCACTCTTGAGCACTTGAAATTGTATGAACTTTGTAAAAGTTGAAGTGTGGGGTGATTGGGTTGGCTTTTGAGTGGAACTAATGAAATAAGGAGAAGGTGCACTGAATTGAAAAAGTAAGAGCCACTTGAATTAAAAAAGAAAAAGAAAAATTTATGTAGTTGTATGATTGTGAAAAATGATCATTGATAAGTGGTAACTCTTGATGTAATTGTGCTTAAAGAAGTTGGGAGTTAATGTAAATTGATGTAAAGGTGGAGTATTGGTTTGACATAAGTGTGGGGTTTTAACAATGAAATGTATGTATTAAAGTGCTTAGGGAGATGTAGTCACTCTTATATCTAAATGTATCCTACCCGTCCCGCAGCCTACATTAAAACCAGTTAAAAGTCCTAATTGATCCTTGACTGAATGAGCTCAATTAGTAGAGTAGTACACTACGGGCAAGCCTATGGTGCATCTTTTGTGGCACATGAATGTTGTTTCTGAGAATGAGTGAATTCTTTATATTTTGAGTTTCCAATTGTTCTTGAATTATATTGTTTGTGGAACTACTCTCTTTTGGCGTGAGGGCACATGATTCATGAAGGAGAGGTAATTCTTGATCTCTGTGTTAGAGTTAGTGAGTAAATTGTGAATAATGTGTGGTGCTTGTGAGGGCACATGATTCATGAAGGAAAGGTAATTCTTGACCTCTGTGTTAGAGTAAGTGAGTAAATTGTGAATAATGTGTGGTGCTTGTGAGTCAATTCTTTAGGTGAAGATGTTACACTAGTGTGCTTATAAGCCTATTTTAAATATTCTTGGTGTAATGAGTTAGGAAAGTCACTTAATGAGGTTGCGTCTATGTAAAGTGAGGTTTGATTGCTCGAGGACGAGCAATGGTTTAAGTGTGGAGTGTTGATGGTAGACTATAACTATGTATTTTGGCCACTATTTGCACTCTAATTCGCTGCACTTTACTGATGTTTGAACGTTAAATGGTAGTAAATTGCTCTGACTGAGTTCTTTATGCTTTGCAGGAGCAATTCTGGGCTACAATGAGGTTAGGGAGCGTTTTTGAGCTAATATGGAGCATTGAAGGCCAAGTAAAAGCTTATGGAGTAAATTGGGAGTTCGTTCGAGGATCAAAGGATGTTCGCACACGTAAAAAGAAGAA